ATGCTCCCATGGATTAGGATAATCTCTTCATTTTAAAAAAATTGTGTTAACTCTCAGGCAATTATCCAACAGGTCAGACTGCCAATTCTCTACTTCGAAAAATGGCAAATTCCACTTATACTTTATGTTTTTTGATTGAACTTCCACTCTGAAAAAAATCAGCAGTCATAGTTTCTTAGTTATCAGTTTGTACCTGGGGGAGCTAATTGGGTTAGATCTTTTTCCTTTTAAAGTAATAGCTCAGAAAACTGACCTTACAATAAAATTTACAGCACTTCCTGGCAGATGGATACACACATTAGGTTATAGCCTGTTGAAAATGGTTCAAAGAGCTGCCCTAAATTTTTAGCTGTTTTGTTGTTTGTGCTTCAGTACTTTAAGCAACTTGGTTGTCAGCTAGAGCTGAGAAATACTGCAGTACAGTAACTGGCATTACAGAATGATATGTCTGAACCAAGACCACCTGTGTATACTTTACTCCCGAGGAATTTGACAGGATCAAAATGCAGGAGACAGAATTTTGAGACCCATGACTCTTCTTAGTAGACATGCTTTGCTGCAGCCTGGAGTCTGGACTGTTCTAGTCAGGGAATCATGACTTAGAGATCTTTTTATAAAGACTCATCGTGCAAAAGCAGCATGCTTGTTTGGACCTGTTCCCAAGGTCTGGACTCTGTGTATCTCGAGATTCCTTGGAAAAAACCATCATCACTAAGGTCAAAACTACACCCAAGCAATTTGTGAAACCACATGTACTTGTCTCTTCCTAGCTGAGAGCATTTCTGCTTCTCTCCATGTTTATGTATTTGTGCTGTCCACGCACCTCCACTGCCACCACCACAGCAGCTCCTATTGCTTCAACCTTGTCAATCCCCAAATCCGTTGGTCTTTCTCAAAAATGTATCTTCCTCTGTCCTGATCCCGCAGAGCCCATTCTGTGTGTGCAGCAGGTGCAGGAAAACGAACTAGCAGCTGTGCCTTGCTGGAAAGCAGTCTCCCTTGTGGGCTCAAAGGTGGATGAGTTCTTCGGAGAGCAGCCTGAGCTCACAGAGGGCCAGGTTGGCACCCTCCAGGGCTGTGCAGGTAATTTCCCACCCAGGCACCCTGCAGAGCAGGTCCTAGCAAGCCGAAGCTACACTTGTCTTATCCTTAGGAGCCTACCGGATGCCTAGCAGAAGCAGCAGCACACATCAAACAACAGACACAGGCGGTGACTCAGATGCACACTCTGGTCTCTAGGGAAGCAGTGTGCCTCGTAACCTTCCCTAGCCTCTCCCACCCCAGGGCAGTGGTGTGGCACTGCCAGGGTGGTGTTAAAGGGTCAGCCGAGACAAGAGGCTGAAACACATAATGCACAGAGCTGGGCTGAAGCACGTCCACTCTTGGCTTCCACCTTCAGGGTGTCTTCCTACTGCCCAGCTCGTCTCCCTCAGCACTCCAAAGGGGCTTGTGAGTTTGGACCTCACCCTGGGGGAGAAGACTAAAGCAGACTTGGCAGGGTGTAGGCTGGGGGGCAGGGATGCAGAGTCCAACCATGTTTGCCTGGCCAAGGCCAAGGCCTAGGCCAGCTCCAAGCCAGGTATCCAGGGTCACACGCAACAGTGAAGAAATGCCTGTTCACCAGGAGTGTGTCCCCCACTCATCTCCTTAGGGAACGTTTGCTGGTGAGTATTCAGAAATCTGGCACCCTCAACGTGAGCAGCAAGGGTCACCAAATGCTCATTCAGGTAGGGACACCCGGTTCCTGAACCTCACAGCTTCCCCCATTGTTAACCCGAGCAGCAACAACAGAGGCACACTGGTTAGACCACGGAACTGTCTCTTTATATTCAAGGAAGAATGCTAAGCTTAGTTACTTAATGAGGCTTTGGCCTGAATTAAAAGATTTCTCCCTATATTTTTTCCTGTTCAGTGAAAGTGTGTCTTCAATCATTCTACATATGCCTAAGGACTGTGGTATTTCTGTTATGAAATCATGAAAGAAAAACAAACGAAGGCCAGGAAAAAGTTGATACAGTACTTAGATACTAAAGGGCCCGATTCTATTCTAAGACTTTTTTTTAGAAAGAAAATATACTTCTTAATACTAAAGTAGCATCCAAATATTTTATGTGTATTTCTACTTTATATTTATATAATATATAATTTTTACATTCTATGAAAGAGGAAAATATTCCTACACAGAAACTTAAGATTTGAAAGCATTAAAAGGGGTTATTTAAGAAAATTCTCCTTTGAGAAAACAAGACTCATCAAGGAGCAGCAAGGCACTGTTCATGATAAGAAACTTCTCTTAACCCATTAATTTCTCGTTTGTACCAAAGGATCTAAGAAGCCATTCCTCACCTTTCTTTGCACTGACTAGTAGTCAAGAAAATTCCAGCTGCATTGTAACTGGACTCCGTCCTGGCCTAGGTTTCATTAGTGATCTCTTCCCATCTCCACTCAGTGTACCCGAGCCACCTCCCGTGACTGTGCCTTCATATATGAACAGACCTGTGTTTGCACCAGAGAGGGCAGCCTTCTGTGAGTGCGGGGGACATGGCCCCTCTCGAAGCCATGCTACCGCCGCAAGTGGCCGCCTTCCTGCTGTTTCTGGGAAGCCCTCTTCAGGATCGGCCCATCTGTGCCAGGCACGGAAAATCTTGTATTTCACACATTTCTGATGTTCATTTGGGGACAGAATAATGAAGCTTAAAATATCTCCTTTAGATCTAAACTTATCTGTGTAATGAGAACTGTATGAATTCTGGTATTTTTTATGAGCAATCCTTGCTGCAGGAAGAGGAGTAACCTGAAGTTGCTAGGGGGGCCCAGCTCAGATCTCAGAATTCAGTACAATTTCAATGTGGAAACACAGGAGGGTGAGATAAGTGCACAGGGAGGAACACCAGCTTTCGTCACAGAACCCTGGATGTGCTGCTCAGGGAGGCTGACACCAGTGCAACAATATTTGGAATGGGAGCAAAGACATCTATAAACAAAGCTCATCTTGAGCTGTGCAGGGGCCGTGAGCACTGCAGAGGGAGCAAGGTACCTGCACACCGCTTCTGCATTGAAGTTCCGAGTCTGCCTGTGATCGATCACAATAATTTCGTGATGCTTGTCTAGAAAACACTCGAGAGCTGACTCCGGGGTCCGAGCAATGTTGCATCTGTAGCCGGCTCTGTCGCAGGCCCACCAGAAGCCGTCGCTCTGACTATCTTCCTTTGCAAAAATCAGCAAGACCTGAAATGCAGAGAACAGAGCGACTTGGCAGATGTCACAGTCCCGGAGGCTGCATCACAAAGAGGCCTGGAATATGCTGCAGAGACATGGGGCTTGAGCTGGGGATAGGATGCATGCCTGTAACTCCGGCACTCTGGAAGGTGGGAGGAGAGCAAGTCTTAGCTCAGGCTGGGCAGCTAAGCAACTTAGTGAGACCCTGTCTCAAGAAATAAAAAAGGGCTGGGGATTAGCTCAGTGTGAAGGCCCTGGGTTCAATGTCGAGTACCACAAACCCGCAGAAGACTCTGCCTGGAGGCCACCTGGTTCACTATTGCAGGGGCACTGACCAAGTCACTCCATCTCTGCGGCCTATATCTTGGCTGTGAGATGAGATCAGAACATCAACTCCCAAGCTGGTGTAAGGAGTGAGTGATTAGACACAGGTGCTCAGTCTCACCGGCGAGGACTGCTGTTTGCTGCAACTTCAAGTAATTTTAATTCCCTAGTTAGCTTTGTTTTCAAATAAGACAAGCTGTGAAATTATTAACAGCATAATGAATGCAGCGAGAGTAACAATTTGTACACGCATCTATTTAGCTCCAGTGCAAACAGCATTTGCCTCCAAGTCTGAGGCCCTCTTCAAAGGCAGCACTCAAATACCTACGAAGTCACAGGAACACACGGAGATGCAGAACAAGCACAGAAACTCCCTCAAACACTCAAGCCTTGCCAAAGTATGAAAAGAATGACCGCATGGGGTGAAACCTACAGAAGTAAAATGGGGAAAGTTTGCCTGCATCTGCTCATGGAAAAGCCCCACCCATGGGACAGAAGGGAGCAATGCTCACAGTTCCCCTCATTACCCCGAGTCCGTGCCAGCCAGAAGGCCAGCGACAGCCTCAGCATCGCCTAACCTACTCATTATTTATGCTCTGCCTCCCACGCTGGGGACGAAGCTTCGGCAGAGCAAAGCGTTGCAGCCTTGCTCCCTGCTGCCCCTCGCCCCCAGCCTAGCCCCAGCCTAGCCCCAGCCTGGCCCTCAGAGCTGCTCAGTAAATATTTGATGGCTGATTAAGTACTTGTAGGGTTTTTTGAGAAATACAAGAGTCGATATTATTTTTTTTGTTTTTGAGACAGTGTTATTGGTGAATAAAATAAAGACTCCTTGACTGTCATGGCAGAGGGACAGAGGGGATGCTGTGGAATGTTAATAAATGATAAGTGCTACAAGAAATGCAGCTGAGCCAAACCACAGAGCATGTGTCGGTGTGGACAGAGCCGTGGAAGCCTCAGGGCAGGAGTGGGTGGCTAATGCAGCAGCCCTCTAGGAAGCGCTCCAGGGTCCTCAGAGACCCTGGCTGTGTCTGAGGTGTTCCAGGGACACAAGGGGATCTGTGCAGTGGAGGGATGGGAGGAGACCAAGTTCATGGCCGAGGGCTATGTCACAGTTAGGCACAAACCCTTACAAAGATGAACTTGTATTAAGTATGCTGCTTTATTTCTGTGTTCCTGAGGCTCTGGTCTAGGCCCTGCTCACAGCCTCTCCCAGGAGTCACCAAGACCGCTCTGCTGAGAAACTCAGCTTTTCTGTGCAGACCAATCCAGAACCCACACCCCAAACACCTCTCTCAGGATTCTTGGGCTCTGGGCCGCTATCTCCCTGCCATGACCACTCAGCGCCAGGTACCAGACAACCCGACACAACCTCTATCACCCAGACCGCCAGAAACATCCCCACTGGCCAAGCCTGAGCCTGTCTGCTCACCATGTCCCACAGACACTGCAGGGAAGCCCTGTCCTTGTCCTCCTCCTGTCCCTCAGCCCGACTGACCTCGATGAGGTCCCAGGCAGCCCTATGCAGTGCAGCATGGCTCCTCCTCTTGGACAATTTTTCCAACGGTAATTGTCCCCTGCGCTGTTGGCCTGACTATCTCTGAATAATAACAAAGTGTACATTTTAAAATAGGACTATCTATAATATAAAGACATGCACCAGAGAATTTCTTAGGGTGTTATTTAAAATTCTTTCCATTTATAAAACATTGATTTAGAGAAACTGCTTTTTGAATTATTCAACTCCTAAGCAAAGTGAAAATCAATAGAGAGGAAAAATACACATATTAGAGTAAAACACCATGGTAGCCAGACTGCCTTTGTTCATGCTTGCCCGGCTCTGGACGATCAGGCCTTCTGCAGGGAAGGAGGGTGGGATCCAACCAACCCAGATCGAACTCTTTGTCTCCATCTCCTAGAAGACAGCTGACCTGATGATACTGTTTCTAGAAATTTGAAATTTGAGCAGAGAGACCCAGAGGCTGAGGAGTAGGACCCATGGCCCATTAGTGGTAGAGATATTAATGGAAGAATCTTAAATTCCCACCCTCAGGCTGTTCAGTGGTGACCCACTGCCACTATTCCCAAGCCATGGCTTTGCCTTGGACTCTTCCTTGGATGTCCCATACAAATCTTGTGCTCTGTATTCTTATCCATTTGTTTATATTTTTCTGTAAAGCTTGTTGTTATTTGCCACCAAAACCCATAAAAACTTAAGCCACGCAGTCTACCCTCAGCTTTAAGACTTTACTTATCAGTATTTAGAGTTTCACTGTTAGACTCAGCCACTCATTAATACTTACTGACCATTCACTAAGGCAAATCTCATAAAATGATTTTGCAAAATATATTTCCAAAAGCTCATCATTAAAGGCAGAGAGCTAAACCTGATTTGTAAAAAGGAAAAGCAAACTGACCCCTGCACTTGCTCCAAATAATGTGCTCAGCATTCATTCAAAAATATTTACTGATGATGCACTATGCAGAAGGTTAGAGCCGGACTGAAAAGGGGACAGAGACAGCCAGGGGCCAGAGGCCAGTTTCTGTCCCTCAGACCACCGCAGGAAGTCGGAGAAGCAGATAATTATAGTAAATGCACTAACAAGTGGACAGGAACCCAGGCGTAAGCAGGCGGAGGCAGTCTGTCTGCAGTGATCTGTCCCCACTTAGGACAATAACCCAGCAAAAGAGTACAAGAATAAGAACAGATCTGGGCAGAAGCCTGAAACAATGAGGAAACGTTTTCCTTCTGGAGCAGACCTTGCCCAACTTGGGCTCTGTCCAGGGTCAGGACACATGGTTGGCAGCTTCCCTTTGCATGATAGAACCAGATCAAAAAGCCAAGCAGGCACAGCATTAGCTACAAACAAAGGTAAAATTATGACTGTTCTGTGACCTTTGGAGATTTTTGTCAAATCATCACAAGCTCCTTTATTGTTAGTTATTCATGTAGAGAGAAATGATAATAAAATGGAAAACAAATATCCATGCAGCACCCTGTAAAACATTCTCACGACTGAGATTTCATTGCTTTCCCAAATGGTTATCTATCAAGAGTAGTTTGAACAGTGCTCACCACTGTCTTCCAGCTGCATAAATTAGAACAGGAAGGAGGCATCCTTTGTCTGGTGAACTGCCTTCTTCCTCCTCCAGGAGCCTGGATCTGCTTTTGGCCACTCACCTTCTTTGCCTCCAGAGTCATCACCATCCCTGCGCTCTTTTAATGGATGTGACATGTTTTGTTGGCTCACCTCCTCTGGGACACCTTCATGCTTCTTGCTGGGACAGTGTCCTCACTTAGGACAAGGAGCCTGACTTTTGCTGGCTCCATGCGCTGAATCTCAAAGGCAGCCACATGAGAGCTGCCAGGCCTCCTCTTACTCCATGGATGTTCCGTTCCAGTTCACTTACGGCATCATCTCTTTTCAGTCCTTTGTTGCACTGTGGGCTCCACTGATCACTCCCTCTCTCAATGATCTGTCCTTGTGTAGTCATGTGGTTTCATGACTGGGGGACAGGAACCAACACAACTACACACTTTGCTCTCAGAAGTTAAGCTAAATGACAGATGGGCAGGGAGAAAGTGCAGAGCCTTTGAAAAAAGTGGCATGGAAGATCACACCATGTATCTGTTGCTTATGTAGTAATCTGTAAGAGTGAGCAGCAAAGTTTGTACCCCACATAATTATTCACATTTAATACACAAAATAACTGCAATCTGAAACACATTTGGGGAGGCTTGGTATTGTGTAACTATTTCATGAAATTTGTGCACACTGGACTTGTGCAAAACTACCTGCACTAAGAAAACAAAAACAAAAAACTACCAGCACTGTTTTTCAAGTGTTATAAAGACCTCAAACCACCAGGGAGAATGTCTATTTCCAAAAAAAACTTTGCTTACATCTTCCAGGAACCACAAGTTTAATTCATCCTTCATCATAAGCTAGAGTGAGTCTAGGGCTGACCCAGGGCTCGGCGAGAGGATGAGAGGTGGTGGCCTGCATGTGAAGGCAGTGCCGGAACCACAGGCTGAGACTCTCAGGCATCATCAGAGAGCCACCCAGCTTGCACCACTAAGATGAGGACAGTGACCCCTGGGCAAAGCAGTGGCAGAGCTGGAGCCCACATCTCCCCAGTCCTCCTCCAGTGATCTTTCCTAGCTCTGGCCCATGTCACCTCATTCTGTTGGAAATTCTTACAACTATGTCTTTTACAAGTTTTATCAAGAAAAAGCTGAGAACTATCTTTTGAGGACAACAATAATCTGCCTTGACAGCTATATTAGTCAGCTTCCCTACCACTGGTAACTGCTGCAACTTGAAGACAGACTTATGGCTTTTGACTTATGGCTTATTTGACTTATGGCTTGGGTGAATTCAGTCCATGGTTGGCTGGCTCCAAGGCAGAAGAGGCATGGTGGAAGAGGATCTCGGAGGAAAGCTGCTCAACCCATGGTAGGCAGGGAGCAGGGGTTGGGGGAGAGTCAGGGACAAGAATACAACCTTCCAGGTCATGCCCACAGTGACCGTCTTCTTCTAGTGCTCCCCCTGTCCCCGTGACCAGCACACTCAGATGTGAGCTCATCAATGGACACCATTGACCCCACTTCCAGAAGCCCCACCTGTGAATGTGAGACTCTGGAGGACATTCTAGATCTAAACCATAAGAAAGCTGAAATTATTTTC